AGAACATAATTATAACATTAGATGTTTTATTAATATATTTTATGTCAATTTAGATACTATTAAATTAAATTTCATGCGTAGCTTGATCTTCTAATTATTTTCTACTACAAAATAATTATTTAAATTAATCTGAAAGGTTAAAGATTATTATTTAAGAAAAAAATTTAAAATTTTGTTTGAACTTGAAAGTTTCAATATTAGATTAACAAATTTAACTATAATATAGAGTTAATTCTAATGTTGATTTCAAAATAAAATATTTAATATGAGCAAGTGTTGTTGAATGTTGAGTCTTTTGTACATGTTTTTTCCATTATTAACTTTATTGAATCAATAAATACATTATGTCTTTTCATATTAACTCTTCATTTTTTCTTAAAACATTCATCTCTATCTTCATTAAATAGGGTTATTATTGACAACAAAAATATTCTTAATTATTGTGCAACTTCTCAAAACGACATTTATTTTGAATAGGAGGGAGTATAACTTAAAGTTACATAAATTTGATTTCAAAATAAAATCTTCAATATGATGAATTATTGATGAATGTTGTTTTTCTAAAGCATATACTAAAATATAATGAGATATCATTAAACAAAAATTTAAAAAATCTCAGATTAACAATTGGCATAATTAAATTAATTTTATTTGCCTTTAATTTTTAACTGACTCTTTATCTTCCAAATCGTAATGATTGACCGTGTATGGAGTGGAGGAGTTGGTGTTGTACATATATTTATTAGGGTGTATTAATTTAATGATGTAGGGTGTGTGTAAAAAAAATTAATGTTACATAAAAAAGTCAAATGGAACATGCCATTAAACGCCAAAATTTTTTGTCACTTTCGAAATGTAATCATTATTTCTCGGTCATCGTTAAAAAAAAAAATCCTCAATTTATGAACATTATTATTTATATATTAAAATCGTCCTCTCATAATGCAACATTTTCATCTTAATAATAGATGTAACTTTTTCATCAATTATAAAACAATATTCATCACGGCAACATGTTCATCGTATTATACAACATATTCAAAAGTTGCCATGGCATATAATACACAAAATTCTGAATTTATATGTCATGGAAACATAACATATTCATCTTATAACTGGACATGTTCATTTTACACTGAAACATATTCATATTGTTAAGAAACATATTTCGTTCAAAATCAACTTATTCATCTTGTAACATAACATCTTTATCTTATAGTTTTAAATGTTCATTTTATAATTTAACATTTTCATCTTGTTAAGAAACATATTTCGTTCAAAATCAACTTATTCAACTTGTAACTTAACATCTTCATCATATAACTTGACATGTTCATGTTACACTGAAACATATTCATCTTGTTAAGAAACATATTTCGTTCAAAATCAACTTATTTATTTGTAACTTAACATCTTCATCTTATAACTGGACATGTTCATTTTAAACTG